TTGCAGCGGTGGTTTAGTTTTTTCCCACAGACCCTGAAGGCGGCAGGACTCATGCAGTGGAGCCTCGCGCCGCAGCCGTTAGTTCGAACCATGTAAAGATGGCGGAGCTGCAGATGCTGCTGGAGGAGGAGATTCCTGCGGGACGGAGAGCCTTACTGGACAGCTTCACCAACCTGGAGAGGGTCGCCGAGTACTGCGAGAGCAACTATGTCCAGGTAGGTGACGCCCGGTGTGTCCGGGTCCGGTCCAAAATGCCATGTCGGAGGCAGTAGTCGGCGGGGAGTAGGCGGTTCGGAGAGAGGAGCGTTGGAATGACCGTACCGAACTCCGTTATATTACCATTCGCTTTTACTGAGAAGTCAAACGTCGCGTTTATTTTTAATTTTACAAGCTGACTTTTTGTCCGGATAAATAACCGAGAACTGAACGGGAATTCGGCTTTGACATTTTCCACTGTAAACGTGTGTTTTTGTGAAAAATCAACTTTTTAAGAATTGGCTTCACGCCGCTGCGTGTTGTGGCGACTGTAGGATGAGAGTTTTAAAAGTTTGTGTTTTTCAGATTTTAATATTTGATATGTGCGCTTTATGTGTGCCGACTTACAAAGGGGTTCAGGTTTATTGGTTAAATGCATCAAAACATCCTCTCCAACGTGTAGAACATTTACACAGAGGCGAGGATTCCTTCAAACAGAGATTTGTTAACGGGAGTCTGGCGCGACACTTGATTGGTTCTTAATTGGGGCAGGATAGCTAATTAATTTTCACCTTAAACCATGACCCATTTCAGCTATAATATTTCCTCTGTTTTCTTAAAATACTGATTTAATGTAAGTTAACAGTATGTGGAGAAATTTTGCTGAAAGCTAAACTCAAAGTTGTTTTACATTTTTGGATCCAGATGTCACGGATGTTAAGTTAGGCAGTCTAGAAGTTTCTAGTTAGCCGATTTTTGATATTTAATTTGTGTATTGTATGCGTGCTGAATTAAAAAGGGGTTCTAGTTTATTCGTGAAATGTCTTAAAGCATCTTCTGAAACCTGCTAAACGTTTGCAAAGAGGCACCGATTCCTTTAATTAGAGATTTGTTAATGGGAGTCTGGCGGGACCCTTGATTGGTTCTTAAATGGGACAGGGTGTCTAATTAATTTGCACCTTAAACCATGACCCAGTTCAACTCAGTTTTACTAAAATGTGAATTCAATTCGAGTAAATAATATGTTGAGGAAATTTTGCTCGAAGCTAAACTCAAACTTGTTTTTTTGTTTTTTGTTTTTTTTTGGGATCCAGATGTCAGGGATGTTTAGTTTGGCAGTCTGGAAGTTTTTATTTTACTGATTTGTAATATTGAATTTGTATAATGTATATGTGCCGAATTAAAAAGAGGCCTGAGGTTATTTGTGAAATGTCTTAAATCATCTTCTGCAACTTGTTAGTTCTTTTCAAAGAGGCGGTGATTCCTTTAAATAGACATTTTGTAAAGGGAGTCTGGCATTAAACCTAATTGGTTGTTCATTGGGGCAGGATATGCCATAAACCAGTTCAGCTGCAATATACAAGCAACTCTCTCTGTTTTGTTGGAAATATGAATTTAATTCAACTAAATTTTGCTTAAACGTAAAGACAGAATTGTTCTATATTCCTGTAGCGAGATATTATTGCTTAACTGACAATTGAAGATTGTTTCAGTGTGACCTAAAACCTTGAACAGAATATTTAAGAGGGAATTTCTCAAAACTCAAACTTAGGGCAGCAGAATGAGGCTGAGGAGAGTTTGAATCTGGCAGGGTGAAACGTTCATCCTAAGGAATCTAGTTGCTTTGAGAGAAGAGCTGCAGTAATTTAGTTTTGCTGATGTTTCATGTTTATTATTGACAACAGCATGAATTAGAAAACCTTATTTTTGGGCTTATTTAGGCAGCTGGAATCACCTCGAAGCACCATGCTGAACCTGTTCCCTGTAACAGTTGATTTACAATATTATACGCATATTTTTATACTTTATATTTGTTGGTTTTTTAAAAAAAATGTTTTTAGTAACGTTTGCAAAAAACCCTCCAATGCACCACTGTGTACAACATATTTATTGCATTTTCCTTCCTTGCTTTAAAAAAAATGAAAAGTCAGCTTTAAGTATACAAATGTTGTCTTTTTAAAGACACGTTACCAGTTTATAGGATTTATGGATGATTTGTTTATAACTGATTAATCCCCACATAAAAACTGACATTACAACACGTGTTTTTGTTGGTTGAATATTTATTTGTAGCTCTAATCTAGTCTCACAAAGCTGATGATGCGTTCAGGTGCTTCTCCTAAATAGAAAGAGTAACAGGATGCTAGGTTCATTAACCACCAATAGTTTTCAAGCAAAAAATGTTTAGATTTCTTTAGTTTCAGTGTCTCGAATGGTATAATTTTCTGCTTTTCTTTGCTTTATGTGAGAGTAAGGTGAATATTTTTGGATGTTTGTTGGACAAAATGGGACTCTGAAGACATTTTTGACCATTTTCTGACAGACTTTAAAGATTAAAAACCAAGATTGAAGCTGTAAAGTGATTTTCAGGAAATGGATCGAGACTGAAAATAGTTAGTTGCACCCTAATCTAACAATTGACATGTTTACCAGGACGTAGCTGCTAATGATTAATTGATTAATTATCAGTTATTACATGAAACAAATCTCCAAGTAGTTCGATAATCGATTTACCAATTTCAGCCTTTTTTGATGAGAAAAATGTAGAAAGTTGTCAGATTCTAGCTCACTAAGTGTGAATATTAACCTGAATATCTCTTTGGTTGTGGACAAAGCAAGACAAGATTCACATTCAGAACAATTTCTGACATTTTTAGAATAAACTAGTCGATTATTCGAGGCAATAACTGACAATAACAATTGTTAGTTGCAGCTCTACTCTGCTTATCTGTAAGGATGCAGCAGGTTCAGTCTCATCACTGATTATATCCACTTAGTATTTTCTTGATTAATCTTTTTTTTTGCTGTGTTTTTTGAACAATTAGCAGTTTAAAGCTCAAAGATGTTGAGTTTCATCTCGTTTAACACATAGAAATTTGGAATATTTGTGAATCTGAGATGCAGGATTTTGTTGATGTCCTGCATTTTATTTGCTGTAAAAGTTGCGGATTAGTTTGTTCACTGATAGAACGAGTCTCGCTGCAGTCGATGGCGTCTTAAGATATGGAGCAGCTGAGATTCTCCTCCTCTGTTTGGTTAGCGGAGGCATGACTGCAGCGTGAGTGTGTGGGCAGCCGAGGCTGTTCTGGACAACTGTTCTTCCTCCGTCGGCTCTAGCTGCTCACCTGTTCGCCGCCACGCTTCATATTCACTACATTTGTGCAGCTGCGTGTGAGAATTTCACTGTCAATCAAGGCTTTTGTAAAGGGCAACGCACAGACGGAGTGATGCATCAGAATCCACTGACGCTGACAAATCTGCAGGATACACACTAGTAACCTGGTAACGGCAGGACGTTTCAGCACTCGCATACGTTGATACGAACATAAATACAAGATCCTTGGTGCTGAAACGTCATAATTGTGCATGTAGACATACTCACATAATCTTAAAAGAAAAGGATAAATTTAAAAAAAAAAAAGGCTGTAAAAAAAATTTTAAAAAGCAAAAAAGAGGGACAATCTGGCAGCAAGGATTAAAAAAAGATAAAATCTGTAAAAGAAAAAAATAAATAAAAAGAAGAAAAAAATACAGGCAAATATCTGTTGAATAATTCTACTTTTTGGCTGATTTACATTTAGTAAAATAGTGAAAACTTTCCAATCTCACGTTGTGAAAATACAGATTTTTGATGTGAATGTGTTTTTTATTTTATTTTATTTTTTACAATGAACATGTAAATTACTACCTTTTCTGTGATTTTTATGACATTTTCTGTAATTTAACAAAGCTGAAAATATGTAAACTAGCATTTTACAAGTCTATATATTTTTTATTCCTTAATATACATAATTTTTCTTTTAAATAATGACAAATATCTGTAAAATTATCATATCATTGCCAATTTAAATACAGAGAAAACGGTGTAATTTCAGAGTCAAATGTTGTAAGAGAACAAATTACGATTTGAAAGACAGAGTTTTGATGTTGACGTTAGTGACAGTTTTTAACTTCTTTTTTTTTTTTACAGTCAGTATGCAAATACTTTTTCTGGAATTTTGCAAGATTTTATCTGTAATTCAACAAAGTGGGAAATCTGTAAAATAGCAACTCAAATACATTTTCTGGAATTATCTATAAAAATCTTTTTTTTCCTTTATTTTTTACTGTCAACATGTGAATTATGACGTTTTTCTGTGATTTTATGAGATATCGTCTGTAATTTAGAGCGATGATGGTGGCGACGGGTAGCGGGCGAATATTCGGATCTCTCTCTGGATACCAGCACAACGAACGAATATTCTGATTTTCTGATGTTTGGGTCCAGCCCTAGTAAACTGGATTCTCAATCCATGCACCTTTTTTTGTCAATTTACTTTTTCTTTTTAAACTTTCCTTTGTCCGGTTTCCTTTAACTTTTCCCGTCTTTCCTTCTTCCTGTCGTTGAAGTGACTCGTGAGCAGTAACTTCCTCCTCTCAGCGGTCGCATCGCGTCTCCTCAGAAGTAAATAAATAAATAAACTCTTTTCTAGCTCATTAAACTCTTCGTACTACATGTCCAAACGGGGCCCGGCAGCGCTGACTCGGAGGATGGCCTACATTTGTGCTGCCAGCAGATGATGGGCGCTGTTACGTAACGCCATCGCGCTGCTGATCCTGTTTTAAGGGCTAAATATTTGGATTGGGGGTCGACCCGTGTTAAGCCATAGATTTATTCAAAGTGGGACAGCTGCTCATTATACAGGTAATAATAATAATGCTGTCATGTCATCATTATTACAAGCTGTCTGACTTGTTCAATGCCTGCTTAGATAATTATTATTTCTTTTATGTCTGCTCTGATCAGTCAGGTCTTGATTTCAGTCATTTATTTATGTGTTTATCTCGCTAATTACATTTTTTTTGTTTTTGCATTTTCATATTCTGTAATAGATGACGGCAAGAGTCAGGTTCTGTGAACGGGATTACTTAGATTATATACACATGTGACTCTAAATTTAGATTCAGTCAGATCCACTTATTAATGGGAAATCCTTTCAGATCCTTTATTGGTCATCGTTAAGTTCAGTGTTCGTCCGTT